ATAAATCTATATTCTATTACTAATAGAATTATATATCCACATTATAGCCAGTAGACTAGTCCAGGACTTATAGCCTATATAGTAGCTAGTAGAGTAACCCATTAACCATCCTACGACATTTAGCAACCTAGAACCTAAGAGCCCATAGCCTGGGAGCCTATAACCCATTAAGTAACCCATAACCCGTTTTAAGAACCCATAACTACTATAGTAGTAGTGTTAAAGTTACTAGCATGGCTAAGAGTAGCGTTATAGATAAGCATTTTAAGTATTTACCCACATATTTATTGGCGGTTTACAAAGAATATAGGTATGGCGTTTTACCTAGCCACACTAGGAGCCATATATAATATATTCACTAGGCGGATAGTAAGTAAGCCCAATTAGTTATAGAGGAGCTTAATAGCTAGGCTAGTATAATCTAGTATGCCAGCGAGCTAAAAGTGCCAAGTAAGAGTATTAAACCTATTAGCTAGCTACTAGTATATATAGATAGGATAATATGCTAGTTGGCCCTAGGCTAGTGTCGCCAGATCATCTAAAGTTTAAAGAGTATAAAGAACCATTAGCGAAATGCCTACAGCTAGTCACTAGTAAGCAAAGGTGGCCATCCACATTAATTTAATAAGCCAAGCATATAGTTACGTAGTAATTAAGCTTAGAGGTATATATATTACTAGTAGTTATTAGCCTAAGGCACTAGCTCCTAGTACTTTAAGGTCTACTAACCTAAATCCACCCCTAAACCTATGGATGGCGAGCCAGGGTAGGCGCGGGTCATTAGGAATATAGACAAGATATAGGGCAACGTATAGAAGTAGGCCAAGATAATAATCTAGGATAACACACCTAATAAGGTAAACCTATGGCTTAAGTAAATAGGATGGATGCCGTACTTAGTAGGTATAGAGTAACCTAAGTTATTGGCGAGCGTAGAAGAGCCTAAGGCTAAAGAGGAGCCTATAGCCACCGCCATATAGGAAGCCATAGATGGATTAGCACGGTTTAATTAGTCGTCCATTATCTACCATATAGGCATATTTATGCAATTAGAAGTAATCCACACTAAGAAGCACTAGACCTAGTACTAGCTATTATAACTGTATATAGACGAGAAGTCGATTAGTAAGTATACCTAGCTATAGTAGTAGATACTAATATTTTTTTAGTAGATATAGTAGGAGCATATATAGAAGAGCCCTAAGTACTAGTTTACTAAGTAGTAGTATAAGGCGTAGGAGGCATTAGTAAAGGAGGCTAGGAGAGTAGAAAATAGGGAGGAAGAGGATAAGGAATAACTAGGGGCAAATTTAGATAATAAGATGACGGAGGACGTAGATAGCGTAGGGGGAGAGAGGGAAAAAGTGCCAGTAGTAGGGGTTGGCAATATAGGTAAGCTAGAAATATTATTAAGCATTAAGAAAGCGTGTTTAGCGTTTTATATTATATTAATAAACTAGTCCATCACCCATAAGGAGTACAACAGCCCATTAGTATATATATTAGCCATATTAGGGATTAGAGAGGATGGGTAGAAGGGCGTAGACTAGTACCTACCTATATTATTAGCCATTATTAAGGTCGCCTAGTTCATAATTATATAGTAGGCGTTGGCGTTATCT